GAGCACGGGGGTGTCCTAACAGCAGGCCTCTTATTGGAGCCCTGGATACATTATCCTTATTTGATGATCATAAACTGTCTCTTTAAATGGCTTTTTTCAACAATTTAAAAATGGTAATGCAGAATCATGTATATAGATAGTATGTATGTGAAAATCATTGATTTCCACCATTACCCCTCCCAATACACCCAAACAATTTGATTTGGGGTTTAAGGCATTTTTTAATACACGGGAATACTTAAGAATTAATTTAGGTTATGCATGTCAAAGATGTATGAAGACTTACTTGGGCATATGGATTTGGGAATCATGTGAATGAAGAACTCAAGGGTAGCCCCCCCCCCAAAAAATAAAAAGCCATAAAGAATATAGATACTGCAGAAAACGAAAAGAAGAAGGAAGGGCAAGGACTTCTGAATTTCCCATTCAGTGCAAATCCTTTTTTCAGCGTAGTGAGATTAAGGGTAGTCAGAATCTGTGGATCATTGGGTCCCCAACAGCTGGATCTCTCTTGTTGCCTGCTCAGTCCTTTCTACACCAACTCCCATCTTAGCCTCATAAACTCATTCATCTGACCCCCAGTTATAAAAGGTGCTACATAAACATCAGGAACCACTACCATTCTGGCTTTCCATTCTCCCTCCAGCCAGTCCATCACCTTCCTCACCCTTACTTTTTTTCTCCTTTGTTCCCCTTACCTTATCAGCTTACTAGCTCCTCTTATTGCTGTTCTATACCTGACTCCCCCAAAGCAAACAAAGAAACAAACAAACGTTTAGTACCCATATTTTCCTTTGGAAATGTTAAAGATCAGAAGAGTATTTCCCTTCACATTACTTATGCCATCATGGCCTGAGGAATTCTCTGTGCATACACACACACATGTGCGTATGTGCCTGCACAAGTGTGTTTTTCTACTTGTTTGTATTGTGAAGGAGATAGGTCCTACAGTAATCCAAGGCATAGTCATGGTTACAATAATCTATGTAAATTCTTTGTGGGACCGTAAGAGTCCACACAGTTCCGTTAAGGAAATTGATTTGTGAGAAGGTGCTTATAAAAGATGAAATAATGACTTTCCAAAGCAGCTGTCTTTGAGAAATGTCTAGGATTTTCCACTTTGATCTTAGCAAGGCGACATATCAGAGTATCTAGTAAGAAATTTTTAATGTATTTGATACTCAATTTCCTAAAACAAATCAAAAGGAGACACACACACACCTAAGTATATATAGCCATTCGCGTGAACAGTTCTATTTCCTGTAACGAGGAGCCCTGAATGTATTAAGAATTGTGCTCTGTTGTCTAGAAGTTAACTTTTTGTAAGCTTTAAAGGGTTTAACAGTCTTACTTGGTTGCCATCCAAGTACTTTTACTGATTGGTAGAATATAAACAGAGCACACGATTTGGCATGATCTACAGTCTTGTCTGAGCAACAGGAATAACATGGATCTCCCAGATTAGTCTGAAGGGACATTGTCAGGACTCCAGAAGATTACACAGTGCCTGCTCATACAAACGATGGTTAACGCTATTATTCTTCAGTTGTACTTACCACGGGATTAAGCAAAACTTGCAAGAAAAAGGTAGGTTAGTTCTTAGGGAATATTGGGAAAATATGGAGAAAGGTCAGATATGTGACATATTAGTCAATTCATTTCACGAGATGGTGGTACTGGAGACAAACTGTAGCAGTCAGTAAGCAAATTAAACTTTCATATAAAGTCATTTAGAAACATTTACATTGAGAAAAAAATTAGGCTCTTGGCTATATATTTCACTTTTCTCTCATACTATGACTGGCTTGATTTTTACTCACCGTTTTCTCCCTGATCATTCTTAAACACCTTCTGGAATTAAGATTTTGGAAATGGTCTTTCTGCACACGTTTGTATTTTTGGTGTTCCTTTCCCATGTCTGTCTTTGAGTGTACATATAATTGGAGGAATAAATAACTCTTTGTAGTTCTTTTGAATACATTGAGACATTTGTAGAATGTGGTTCACTTCATATGGAAACAAACATCTTCTGGAACTGTCTCATTGAGAAGAAAGGACAGTAGGGATTCTAGAGCAGGAGTCCTAGACTAGGAGATGGAATTTGGTTCCTAGTTCCAGTTCTGCTACTAGCTAGTAGTGTGACAAGTTAACTTCTCTGGGCTTCAGTTTTTTCATCTATACAATGAGGGTACTGGCAAGATGATTTGTAAAAGTTCTACAAACCTTCTCTTTCTACTTTGGGAACCAGGGAATTCTGTGTTGTAAGATTTGGCCAAGAATGACTTCTTTCATGGCCTTGGCCAAGTCCCAACATTGTTCTTTATTACATCTCTGAAATACGCATTCACAGGTATTTTTGAGTGATTGACGTTCATACAATGTTTTGAAGAGCTTTTGTGCATGTTGTCTTTCTATCCCATTTTATGCAGTTGTCCATAATAGAAACCAAGTGTTCTGTAAATGAAATCAGTGTTTCCTGTGATGTGAACGAGGGCTTTTGACATTTCCCAGTCTAAATATTTTTTTTAATTAATTAATTAATTAACTTGTTTATTTTTGGCTGTGTTGGGTCTTCATTGCTGCACGTGGGCTTTCTCTAGTTGCGGCGAGCAGGGGCTACTACTCTTGGTTGCAGTGCGCAGGCCTCTCATTGCGGCGGCTTCTCTTGTTGCGGAGCATGGGCTCTAGGCGTGCAGGCTTCAGTAGTTGCAGCACGCGGGCTCAGTAGTTGTGGCTCGTGGGCTCTAGAGCACAGGCTTAGTAGTTGTGGCGCACGGGCTTAGTTGCTCTGTGACATGTGGGATCTTCCCGGACCAGGGCTCGAACCCGCGTCCCCTGCATTGGCAGGCGGATTCTTAACCACTGCGCCACCAGGGAGGTTCCCCCCAGTCTAAATGTTAAAGTAGTGGGACCACTGAGCTTGCATAAAATTATATTTAAAATATATATTTAATCATTTTCTTCCTTTCACTCTGTAGGTGAAAACATTTTTAGTTCTGGAATGTAATGGTAATTACACTCCGTAGTTGCTACTAGAGTCGCCATCAGGGTAGTAAAATCTGATTAATTTGGACTCTGCTAATTTGTAATTGGGGTGATTTTACCTGGCTGAAGTTTATTTCTAAACGACGTATGAGGAATGGTGTTGTTAAGCAATTTAATAGTGTAAAGTATATTTCATGGACTATATTTCTAGTTAAGGGAATTATTTTTAAAGCCTTTGGCATATTGGTTGTTTGCTCATGAGAGAGAATTACAAATGACATCTAGCAATTTATTAAATCAAAAGAAATGAATATAAATAAATGCTCATCATCAGATATAATGCTTTTCGGGTTTTGGGGTCTTTAAGAGTGTTTAGGATGGGTGGAAGAAAGCAGCCTTTCTTTTCACTTTGAACAAATATTACAACCGTTGGAGTGCTACAGAAACAGGTTCTGAACATTAAGTCTAAGAGATGATTTGGTGGTATTGGTTGATTTCTTTGGAGCCGAATGAGATTAGACCAAGAATATGTTGGTTTTTTGAATCAGTTGATTGCTCATAGTAGAATAATAACTTGAGAACCTTTGCAGTAAAGTGATCTTCGCCTGTTTTGGGAGGTTACCCTCTTGGAAATTTGGAAAACTCTACATTCACCCTATTTCCCCCTCATAAATATTGAGTAGTCTTCACAGATAAAGACTCAAAACACTTAACTACCTTGGTTTTACATAGCTTTGGGGGTCTTTGTTCTCAGAAGGAGAAGTTACATTTGCAATTACTACTTTGTAATATTTTCATAAGCTGGAAAGTGATTGAAGTTTCTCTCTAAAATTGCTCCATATAGCTAATTTGTAGCTGTTTTATATTTTTAAATGTTTGAGAATGCTTCAGGGCTTTGGAATGAGACATTCCAAACTTGCTTGATGAGTGTGTGTGTGTGTGTGTGTGTGTGCGCGCACGCGTGCGCGCGTGTGTTTTCCTTCTTGGGGTTTCCAACAAGTTACCACTGCCAATTGTACCTAGGACCTTTTTGCTCCTTAACTATTAAGATTATTATACAAATCCTTCTAATGTAAAATATTGACTACAGTTTATTTGTATTAGTGGCACTTTTAAAAAACTTTTAAAATGTATTTTGGCCACTAAGATATTGATAAATATTCCTTTCTCTGATTCCTTTGAAGACTTCTGTGAGACAGTTTTAGACGGGGGGTACCGAAAAGAGTTGGAAATATCATTTAACCCTTTAAGTTGCTTGACTGAGTTTTTGTGCAGTGTTTTTGTGTCTGATAGATTGAATAAAAATTATTTGTGAGGTAGTGATGGCTGAGACCTATTTAGTATTTAATAAAGTTTATGCATTACTGGTCAATGTTTCAAAATAAGCTTTCTCTCCTTAGGTATGTATGCGTGAATGTATATACTACGTATACATATATGTTGGATTTCATAGGAAAATACATTGTTGAATGTTGATGTGTTCTTGAAGGTACTTGTGATTACCTTAGGTGATTTCACGCTGTATTCTGGTATATGAAATTACGTATTTTGCAATTTTTGAAAGCAGTGTCTTTCTTACAGAAATAATTACCTGTGCTTTTTGAATACAAATGAGAAAGGCTCTTAGGGACTAAATCTCAATCTTTCAAAAACTGGGAATCGTTTGGAAAGAGCATATGAAAGCCAGCTACTTAAGTTGGAAGCACAAGCTTATTGTTTGAATATAAACTTGAAAGTAAATATGAGCTTTTCATCGCTGCGACGAGTTTTTAAAAAGGTAGCGGCTTTCATGTCAATGGCGGTCCTCCTTTATTAAGCTTGCATTTGATGAAGATGGGTAATTCGGTTTTTAGGTAGAAGGTGGAAGGATGCATTGAGGGTAGATATTTAGTGATGGCGACTTGCCTACATCAGAAATAAAATTCTTCAACCTGAAAATAAAGAATTCAGCATAATACCGGTTTATCCTATTTTCACTTCTTTGAATTGTGTAGAAAGTGTGTGAGTTTGGTGCTTTAAACAGAAACTTGAAACACCCAGTCGCGTTCTGGGCATTTACAACGCTATTTTCTGGCAGTATTTTAAAACAATACAGATGAAGCCTCTATTTGCCGTTACTTTCGTGAAATACGTCAACCTCCCTTTGATGGCAGCTTGAATTTTTGATCCTCCTTGTCAGTTACTAACCCCTAGAGGTTACCGGACCCGCCGCTGAGCTCTGGAATGGTCCCTGCTGGACACCTGCTTGGTGTCTCTCCTCTAGGCAATTTGTGAGCTGTTTGGGGGCGGGGGAGGCGTGAAGGAGGGTGAAGCGGAGGGAAAGGGGGAGAGAAGAAGGGGAGGGCAGCACTGAATTAGATTGTTGATAGCGTCCCTCCGAGGACTGCTATTAAGAGCACGCTATTCTGTACTTCTCTGCTGCAGAAGACAGAGTGATATTCGTGTTAGCACACGGCATGTTGTAAATGTATGAGATTTTTGCTCATCCTGGCTTGGAAATAAGAATAGGGAAAAGAGAGCAACTTGAATCAGAAGCTACTAGAAGAGCGTGCAGAGTTCTGCAGCAGTTTATATTTGTTCTTACATTTTGCCTTCTTCTAACTGGAAAACAGAGAGACTGGCATTTTTTTTAAACGGGCTCTTCCCATAATGGCATTCTTGTATTGTGTGGCCAGAGCTTGCACAGGAGGAAAGCAGGCTGCCGAATTTAGTCACTGATCTCTATTAGCTGTGGCCTAAGGCTATGCTGAGGTTTATATCCCATTTGTATTGTTGCAGCTCAAAAGAAGAATGTTCAGAGGATGACAAGTGTATTCTGAGTAGGTATGTTGTTTCATTTTCATATGAAACCCGTCTATTTTTTTTTTTTCCTGCTACTATTGGTCAGAAATCAGGTTAATAGGTGCAGAATATACTGCAGTGCTGCAGTATCCCTGTTAAGGTAGAACAATGGTAATGCAAGCTTAAAATAATACCAAAAAAAAAAAAAAAACCCACCCCAAACCCTAGCCGCTTTTATCAAATAAAGCTGCATTGTGTGGTATGCACAGTGCAGTCTTTTCAAAAAAAATATACTGCAGTCAACGCTTTCCTAACGAGGTGGCACTATTGTTGAGTTCGAACGATAGAATCATCATTTGCTTTAGGGGACAGGAGGATTTAAAGGAGCTACCTTGCAGCCCTATTTTACAGATTGGAAGCATCGGTTTAAGGGCACTGGCAGAATCGTTTGCTTGTTCTCCGCGGCAGCCACTGCTGTGTCAGTACAGTGTGGAATGGAAGTCATAGTTGGTAGTCTGTTATGGAAACGCTGTTTACTGTTATTGTAGTACCGTGGTGACAACATGCCATTGAAATGGAAAACGAGCTCTCCTGCTATCTGGAAATTCCCAGTTCCTGTGCTTAAAACATCCAGGTCAACTCCACTTTCTCCAGCATACATGTAAGTGAGAGAAAATAGGATATTAAAGTGGGATTTCATTCATGAATCAACCTTGTGACAAAAGGGGGTAGAAAATCCTAAACAGCAACATCCAAAACCCCACAAGATTAAAAACCTCAAGCTTGCTTACATTTAAATATATTGGCATGCCCACATTTTACCATTGTTTTGTTCTTCTAGGAGTTTATGTTTCTTTTCATTTAAAGTGCCTAATGGTAATGTAATTACTAAGATGAAAGTCTAAAGGTATATCTAAGGAATTGCATAAGGATAAACTTTTACATTGGTTGGATGTTTTGAATTTTTGTGTATCTGAAATACTTAAGACGACTTCTTTTGTGTAATGGCACAAAAACGCTTATGATTGATGTGTTAAACATGGAAATGCTTTCTATAATTTTTTGATGAATTTGAAACATTCAGAGTTAACACATTGATCAGAAAATGAGTCTTTTAATGAGGACTTGATACTTGAGTTGTGTATGAACATTAATAAGTTTGATATTATATCTTTCTCAGTTTTATAATTCGAGTTCTGAAGTATAAGTTTGAATTTGTGCAAATTATAGTTCTATGAGTAGTTATTTATATACATGGAGTTGAAAAGTGTATTATACAAATATCTATTTTTGAAATTTATTTTAAGTAAATATGTACTGAAGTATATTGGGACGTCTTTCTAGAATTTTTGAAAATCTTATTTTTTAAATTTGCAAAGTGTTGCTTTAAAAACAAAATCTGGGAGATATAATAAAATATTCTTTTAAAGTATTGTCTGTGATCTTTTTTTAGTAGAGGAAGGAGTGAGGGAAAGCTGGACTTTTTTTTATTAAATAATTGTACGAGAAAAGCTTTTGAGTGAAAGTCTGTCTTAACTGTAAGTGTTCCCTTTAAAATATTTTTCAGTAGGACAGATGTGGAAAATTCTTCCCACTTTAGGTCCATTGTGTGTTTAGAAATCTGGTGAGTTGCCATTTTATTACTTAGTTTTTGTTTTATATGAGGTTCAGATGCACAGTGGTATCTCTCTGGTTCTTTGAAAGGCTTTCAGCTGCTGAGGAAGTGTGCTTGTGCTCTCAGTCCAAAAGAAGCAATTCCCGGGAAAGCGAGGAAAAATGAGGACATTTCAGAGTTGAATCCTGTCATCATTTCATTTTCAGATTATTTTTTCTATTCCTTCTTAGAGATGCTTCAGGTTATTTTATCTGGGTGTTAAACTCTGTTTCCTATAAAGTTAAAAATTTAAGTTATATTTGTAAAAGAAAAAAGAAAAAAATCAGCTCTGTTTGTTTCTCAAAAGCTGCATTTGTCAAAAGTGCAAATTAATGGAGGTGACAAGTTAATGGAGCTCCTTCAAATAATTCGAGAAAATGAGATGTGCCTGTTGACTTTATATATCTTAGCTGGTGAGAAATGACCAAAGATTTACCAAAAGCAACTCCATCATCAAAACAAAACATACACACCCCAAACTAAAATCAATAGGTTACAATTAATAATGGTTACTAATGATTCTAGTATTCCTACTGCATTTTACTGTCCAAAAGATCCAATTTGTAGCCCCTGTTGCAGCTGATTTGCTACTTTTTAGAGATGATTGAAAAATACTTACATTTTTTTAATCCATACTAGCCACAAGCTCAGATACAGCTTAATACAACATCTTTAATGAACCACTTTCTTTCTTTTAAGTCCTCACCTCTTTGACCTGGTGATACGAGTGAATTGATTTAGATGAGAGAAGCCAGAAAATGTCATAGATCTTGCACGTTGGCACTGAGTGTTGGTAGTACACATATGTAGAATGGAAAAGTATATTTGAGGAGCTGGTGTTAGTCTGGACTATTTTGACATTGTGACGGTCTGTATTGTTAAATTGGCCTTAACTTATTTTTTTAATAAATAAATTAATATGAGGTTTAAAATATTATGTAAATATACACAGAGAATATATGTTAAATATAGGAAAAGAAGACTAGCTTGGGGAGTTTAAATCAAGTTTTAAATAAATTGTTTCGTTTTTGACTGATTTAGAGTTCATTGCCTTGCTGGGCCAGAAATAAAAATACCACGTTTAACATGTTGTTCTCATCAGTGCTTCCTTATATTCCATAGCACTTCTACACACGGATGATATTTAAGTTGAGCATATTTTTCACTTAAAAATTGTAAAGAGTAAGTTAGAATCCTGGGTCAAGTAACATCATGTTTGCTCTCGTGGTCGGTTGGGTTGGCAAACGTAGATTAGGTGGCTACTTGTGTCTTTTGGGTCTAAAGTCTTTGCATTGAAATGGAGCAGTTAAATTCTGACTCTCTGATAGATTGTGATATTTTAGGATTTACCTGTAAAATTACGTATAAACATTAAAAATACTATCTTGAATATAGAATTCTTCCCAGTTAATATAAGCATCTTTTGGTATATTTGCTTGTATTGGTTTGTAATGTTTCATCGTTATTTACTGTGATTTGTTGAATACATATTACATGATTTTCATTGATGACTTGGGTGCTTTTTCAAAGACTGAAATTTCAATATAAAATATTTTTGCTTGTAGTAGAAATATATTGTAGTAATGGAGCAAATATGGAGAAATATAAAGGTTCCTTATGGTTTCTTTCTAAACTCAATGTAGGTGCTGCTGGCTAGAACTCTTCCATTGATGCTGGTGATATAGGGCAGTGCTGCTATCCACTAGTGAAAGCTAGAATAGAGAATGTTTTACTTACTGCAAACATTGAACAGAAAAGCTTTTTTTTCCTTGTGGATTTAAAGTCCAAGTTGGCTTGCTTTCTGCTTGTTTAGAACCTGAACGTGAGTTAAAACCTTTCCATATTTTCAAGACTTATTGATGATAAAGACAATGTTTATGATAATATTAAGGAAAATAGTTTCTTATATAGCATAAAGTGCTTTTCAAACTGTGTTAAAATATGATTTGGGAAGAGCGGAGTATCATAAAGACAAAAGATTTGGGAAAATAATCCTTTGGCCTCCAGATAGCTTGATTACCAAATATTATTTAGTCTTTATTAGGTAGAGTCTCCCTTCAGCTTCAGTTTTGAACACTTGCACGGGTGGTGTGCCATCCATGTGGAATTCTGAAGGGACTGTCTTGATCGAAATCTGAGTGATGTGTTTGTGTTACACTCTGTTCAGCAGAAGGTTGAAGTTCAACCTTAGCCTGAAGGAGTATCTCCTGGTCAGTGTAAGCTAAATTAGTAGACTCTGCTCCTGACAGGTGTGAACCATGTAAATTAACCTGTCAATTTGCCTAAATTAATAAAGCTGAAAGGGCAGTCGCTTCTAAGTGGTTTTCTGGTGTTTTGGTATTCATTGTTTTCAGGCAGTAGATGATTCCTTCAGGCTGATGTTATAGGGTTAATGTACTGTTAGGTTCCAAGGACACACTGAAATAGAACAGAATTAGCGTTAGCTATCTTTTTATCTTTCTTCACAAGCGGTTAAGTCTTGCTAATAATGGTGTGGCCACAAGGAGGAAGACAATAGGTAAGAATTAACCAGCACAATGTTACAGTGAATCATAGCAAGCCAGACAATGGGTGTAGAATGAGTGTTAGTGAATTAGACTTGTCCTCTCTTAGCCAATACACTTGTATTCAGTTAGCATCCTGTTTACAACTATTTTGTTGACTATGTAAAATATATTTTAGAGTAAGTGCCAATAGCACTGACTTTTATAGAAATCATTTTCTATCATTTTATCATTGAGATTCAGTATCTAGATTTCCCTAGAAAAAATGGTGCTTTATTTAATTGTCAATCATTTGTCTAGATTTAGTCATACTATATAAATGTTCCTTGTTTGTGGGTGATTCAAAGGACAGTGAAAATTAAAACATGCACTTTCTAAATTTGACATGTTTTCTATCCCCTAAGATTGTCTTTTTTCTAATTTAGTGAATAAAATACAACCTTGAAAATAAAATAAAACAAAACCTTAGGTATCCTTTTCATCTAGCAAAATACTTCCCAAATTGATATTCTCAAATTAGAAAAGAATATAATTAGTTAGACATTTTCACAATTAGTGTATACATAAACTTTTGTTTGTGTCTGCTTAATTTGTTTTTTTTACAACATATGCTCAATCTAACAGAATTATGTGGAGAAATAACACAAATAACACAGAGCAATTTAGCACTCATCTGTAACTCTTGTAGCATGTTTCTTGTGAATTTCCATTGTCTGAACTTGCAGAAGGGCTAGCTTAACACTTATTAATGGAAACTCATAGAGATAAAAGTGACCTTAGATGTCATTTAGAGAATCCAAATCCCCTTTAAAGCAGGAATCCTTCCTGTGACAGCTCTGAAAGATGCTGATGCACGTTCTCCTTGATCACTGTCAGTGACAAAGAGCTCACTACCTCCCCAAGCCAGCACCTTTCGTTCGTGGACAGCTCTTCCATGCATTGAGCAATATCAATTCCTCTTATCTTTCATCTCCTATTCCTAGTGTGGCCTTCTGGAGCTACGGAGAAAAATATTATTATTATTATTATTATTATTTCCTCCATAACGTACAAGCCTGGAAATCTTCTTTCTTTAACCATTACTCATGTGACATGTTTTCCAGACTCTTCACTCTGCTGGTTGTGCCTCACCCAGATAGTTTTTTTGTGTTAAACTTTATACTTTATGCTCCCCACATGGTCCGACTAGAAGAGACCTCTCTCCTTTCGTACAGGCGTTTTGCTTATCTTAAAGAGCCTGCGATTATATTATTTTTTAATCATAGCATTCACCCTGAACCACAGTGACTCAGAGTTTACAAACTTCTTTTCGGAGGTTTACGACTAGATTGCTTGTTCCTCCTAGTCAGCGTTTATTCTCTTGGCTACTTCAGATCTTCGAGTCTGAGGAATTCTGGCATGTGCAAATGAAATTAAAATTTTGTTTTAAAGCCTATTGTATGTGTCTTTAAAAAGATCTCTTAAAACCATTGAATGTATCTGAGGAATATTGCACACAAGAAA